GCTGAAGCTGCTCTGAATATTTGTGTGTGATTCTAGCAGTGTGTGTCTGGCTCAGTGACCTTTAACAGGGCATGAGGAACCATTATTATCGTTATAACCTGTTCAGGGTCGCACAGACCTGGACTCTATTCCAGCTGACATTGAGCGAGACATGTTGTCCATCAAAGAGACAGAACAGAATGACATCCAATCACAACCAGTTTGGATTTAACAGCAGGCCTGTTGTGCTATTTTGTGTACAGGTAAAGGAAACTGGAACACCTACAGTAGGCTGTGGACTCGTACAAAATTCACACAGACTAGCTTTTTTCATGTTCACCTCCACCCTGTTGCACATGGGGTAATACCCATCATCAGTGCACAAGCAGGCTGCTTCACATTATATCCAGAAATGCAGCAAATGTACAAAATGCATGAAAACAAACAATAGAAGTTGTGTTTGTCCCTTGTTCTGAGTAGCTTCCATATGCAGCGTATGACTTGCAGTATCTTGTGTATGTTATGTTTTTCTACTGACATGTATGTATTACACAGGATAAAAAGGTTAATTTACTCCTCGCCTATTAAAGTGCTTCAAGGTTGTAAATAAAGAAGATGGTATTTGCTTTTAGTATTGATCCGTAACATTTGAATTAACTTTTCATGCTTTGCATTTTGAAACGTTACATTTAATTATTTTTTTCGACTTTTTAAAGAAATGTACATGTCTAAGCAGCACTTATGACTTTGCTAATGTGATAACAGTCAGAATATGGTAAGAACATTGATTCCTGTTTGACATGAGCCTGGCACAAGTCACAACAGAGTTGTGTTTATTTTTCCAACACAGTTACCTTTTTTTATTGTTTTGTAGTCTCTTGATTCAGAAAAAGCTCATTAAAAGCTCTAACGTAATAATATTCATTCAGATATCTTGGGGAGTTTTGGTATTTCTACATTTTGTGAAGATTGGAAAAAAATTTCAAATTTGCATCATTTACAGGAATGGAAACAAATATTTTTCCCTCTTCTTTTAGAATGTGTTTACACCAGGTGCCCCACTTAGAACAGAAACTGACCAGCAAGGTCCCGCAGTCCACATGTGTGCTGCCATCTAGGGAGCCCAGGGTGATTAGAAGCCTTGCTCAAGGGCTCAGAGTGGGGCAACTGAGGGTGGAGGCAGATGTGGGTGCTTCATCATTTCCCACTGACATTTGGATGTTTAAGGGATTTGAACCGGTGACCTCACAGGCTCACCTACACTAACCTCTGCACCATCTCTCTCCATAGGAGCAGAAATAATTGATTTGATTAAATGTAAAATATAATATCTTGTCAGTTTTAAATCTTGGATAAGTTAATGTTATGTTGTTTATTTGTCACATGCAGGTTAACATAAGGTCAATGCAATGAAATGTTCAGGATGAGAAGAATCGATTTGACTCTAAGAAAGAAAGAAAAAAAAAAAAAGAAATACTAAAGCATGCAATAAAAGTACCAAACAAAGTACCACAATGTGAAAAAAGAAATATAATATTTTCAAGGTCATGGTAGAATAAAACTGTGCAAGTAGGATGAATTGTAAGTATTTCACAGGTAGTAATATAAGCTTAAATGCACATGATATATATTGCACATTAACATAAACTGCACAGACAGGTTATTGCACAGGCAGTGAGAAACATTGAAATTAACTGAATTATGAAGGTAAGGTAGTGACATACAGCCACATAGTGCAGCAGCAATAAACATATTAGCTGTCACAGATGTGGCTTAGTGCAATGCTATTGTCAATTGTTCAGTATTATTGTCAGTTGTTCAGTATTATTGTCAATTGTTCA